GCCATCCAGTCATTGTATTCTGATAGCAGGTGCTGTGTCAGAGTTAGTGGCGTTAAGTCGAAACCATTCAACGTTCGCACTGGTCTGCGCCAATGCTGTGACTGTGCCCTATCCTGTTTGTGTTGCACATGGATAAAATAGTCAGGCGCAGCCAAGGCGGTGAGTGTATCGGTGTAGAAGATTTGGAGGCGAGAAGGTTGCTAATTGCAGACTAACTTATTTTGGTAACATGAAGCTGTTTTTCATTGCTGGATTGTTTGTCTCCTCCATTTGTCGACCTCTATCATCTTTAAGTTCTTAATATCGCCGACATTTCAATGTTGTGTTCCGTATTTGCAGATTTTGAGCAGCTTTCACACCTTCCCACTTGCCACTAGAAAACTTTCTCTTTTGAGCATAACAGCAGTTTTCTAGACAAGAACACTATAAGTTATCTAACGATGTTCCTTGCCGTTTTCACTGTTCTGTTGACTTCTTAAAACTCGGTCTCTATCGAGAAGAACAGCTGCTCCAGAGAGGTGAATTTTTGCACTTCCCAAAACATGAGTCCGTCAAGTTTAACTTAAGATTCAGAAATTGAAAATTCCCTTACAGGATTACATCTTATATGGAATTTTTCAAGTAGATGTTGTCCACAAATTTTCGGATGACGCTTGATCGATGGTAGGGACAGACATAATGTAAATCATTGAATACTTCTAGAAAGGAAGAAAGGAGACTATTACTTACTCGGTCGAGGACTCTGGACATGGCTAAGAATGACCTTGGACAAGTGACTCGATGACATTGCTGCAAACTTTGGTTTTCATTTGCCGAAGCTGAAACGCTGACACGATATTGGAAACGTTGGAGCCACTGTCGGACACTGTTACCTCTGTGCCCACTGAAGTGGAATGGTTATTCAGTAAGGCAGCATAACCATGGAGATAGACTTGCCATTTCGATGGGGTGAACTCGAGACGTCCGTTTCACAATGTATATTACTTACATTTCGACAAGTTATTACAAAAGTCTCCTACCAATCAGAGGGATCGTGTGTACAGTCGAGATAACACTGTTAAACTGGACTTTTCAGGTTTTTCAATCGAAATGGCAAAAATGTAGTTTGCTTTTCCATGACATAAAACATTAAGTACTATTCCTCCAATAACAGATGGGAAGAAATATAAATTAGTTGTCCTTTTGACTAAGAAGCGAAGGGACGTAGTATTCCACTGATCATGACATGTAATGAACGGTTTGATTGGCTGACGGCACAATGGTGAAGAATCTTATGTTCCTTCGTCAAGAATTATTATAGACAATGGCCCGACGTCACGACGTTGTTTGCGAAGTAACCCTCTGTAATTTAGCCTATACGAGAGTTACCGAGAGTGAAACGTGCCAAGAAAATAGTCTCAGTCTCACGCATCAAAGCACATAATTAATAAATGTATTGCTAAGAGTGGCAAGAAACCTTTCATCACTAATAAACCATACGATACAAAAGCTGGCCAGTGTACAGTCCAACCATGCCGGCCTAAATGTGAGCAGTGGTTTCTCCTGACGGACAACGTTTTCAATTGTTCCACACCTTGAGCGCCTTAGAAACAGTTCCTCCTTTCATGACGCATGTACACTTCGAGGTTCAGCTCTCCGATGTCGCACACGACCGGCTGCTTGACGGGATTGCTGATGTACCTCTTTGGTATGTCCATGATCCAGCGACGCTGACATGGCTTCAGACCGTCCAGGCAGTCATGGTAAATTTTCACGACCGGGTCAATCGATGTCCATTCTGACGTCTGGCCATCTACGTAAAACTGTCCGTTTTCGTCCGTCCGTACCTCGTCCATGGTGTCGTCCAAACCGGGCGAATCTAACCAAAGTAATGCATTACATCGTACTGTAGCATTGTCAATAATACACTCAATTGATTCACGTTTTGTCAATCTAAAACAACTCCAACAGCTAATCTACACGTTTACGCTGATTCCAAGATTGGGAGAGAAGGTATAGGTCGAACCGTGCCTTACAGATGACTAAATCGTGACCTAGCCTAGAGCACGAGCGGTTAAGGCTGATAGAATAAACCGGATTAGCACCAAGCCCAACTGTATCGATTTCCAGGCAATTCATCTATCGAGGACACTATTTGATGATTGACCTCACTATGACCTTACCCATATGTGTACAAATTCCACCTTGAGAGACATCTGAACTGTTTGCAGAAATGTTGATATGAAGGTTAAATGAACCCTAAATGACAGGTTCAGGTTGTGAATGATCTGATTCTTTTCCTGACAGATGTTTTCAGTGGGTGTGGAGAATTCAAAAACTATGCTAGCCCTGTTAGACAAACTTGCTGAGCATAAACCATTTTCTTCGGCCCACGGCATTTTCGTGTTTCAGCCTAAACACGGCAGACGATGGCAAGGAGGTCCGCATGCAATTTCGAGGAACAAGGAAGAGGCAGATTTGTCTTGGGCAAAAATTATTTCTTACTACGATGCAGTTATCGCAGCCCTATGACGAAAGTATTCAATGGATGTGGATACATCAGACATCAGAAACTACAGACATTGTACTTATGCAAACGATTAAAGGTGTTGATCCCAACAAACACGACACACACGTTGTGCGGTTCATTTCAGCAAGGAACTACCGTTCGCAATGGCCTCCAGCTGACTCTAGCAAACAACACGTCGCGAGATGCGTTTTGCACTGCAGGGGGTCAAATGCCATGGAGCCTAAATTCCTTCCCCCCTCCGCCTAAAGCAACTAGAACCAACGTTGCGGTGCCACACGGCGTGAAATCTAGAGTTGTAGGAGAAATTGCGCCATCTAATATTTATGCCTTGTTTATAGCGTCGCACTTTCTTTGCATCATTTCATAACCTGTGAATTAAAGGGGTACAAATCTTTGACAAAATGTAGGCAGAGACAATAGTTGACGTTGACGCATGCAATTCTGATTGTTTATTCCTTGAGATCATCAGCAACCTCTCCCTGGCTACCAAAGCGAGTATCCTTTTATTGCCTTACGTCCATCAGCAAGGACGTTTCTATTTATAATATTTAAAGTGGGCTATTGCACATAGCCTTGCCCTGTTGATGCTACGGTCCATGTGTCGAAGCGAGTCGGCAATAAACTCTCGTGCCATCTGTTGTATTTGGTGCCCTAAAGCATGAATTGTTCGAATATCTATCTATAATATTTTTATTTATTTCATTGCGACTAGTTTTTGCTTATGTTTCAGAATTCGAGCCAAATAAGACGAAGACAATCGCATTATTTAATATGAAAGGGCATCTGGTATTTGACCCCAGATAAGCACTCGAGTAACCTCTGTGGTTTTGAAATTACTCAGTTCTGTCTTTTCTTTAGGTTGAGGCAACGGAGGACAATTAAGAAAATACATCCTGCATAAAATTGTGAAAATTTTTCCGCTTTAAGTTCAGCCAATTGCATTAACTGCCTGCATTAAAGAAGATTCGTGTCACACGAACCGCAACATCAGTACTGGTCAGTAATCCGACTGACCAAACTGTTTGAGTGGTATATAAGTAATTTGTATTCCATGCTATTTTCAGAATTACTGGATAAAGTCATGAAGGCATTTTCAGTAAGGCACGTCAATCTGCGTTCGTGACACGTACCAGGGTAATTTGTGATTTAGTGAGCCAGACATGATGTTTAAAGTTATGTTCTTCTGCTGAGGTCAGCAGTTGCTATATTTATTGAATGCAGAACCATGCACGTCAATCGCATGCCTCCTCCTACTCCCCAATTTTAACATCATTTTGGAGGATTACTTTAAAACCACACAGCCTTTGAAACATGATCAGAGGAAAATATCGTTAAAGCTAAGGTCGCAGAGGTAGTTCAGATTTTTCTTCGGATGAGGGGGGTCACGTCTTGTGCTGGTTATCACTCAAAAGAAGCAGCTCTCATGTGATTTCATCCGAAATGCAAGTGTAAAACTGCATAGGCCAATGTCGCCTTACTTTTTGCCTTTTCGTCCATTTTGATATGGAGCGAAACAGCATGCAGCCCCAACAGCCGGCAATTCAACGACTTACATCTCATTTCTCAGCTGTATTCGCACCAAGGCAATGTTGGGTGAATTCCTTGTTGAAAACAATGGGCCACCATTGCAAATTTTGTCTCTTCATGGGACTCGAACCCGGCACCTCCGGAGTTTGGAGCCGAACTCCATACTGCTGTGCCTATTGAGAAAAGTTGGCCAACCAGGTTGGTGAACGTCGGAACGTCGATTTTCCATCAGTTTCTGATTGGGCCATTTCGGCGCCCATTTTTTAATTGAGTTGATGGTGGAGTGCTGATTTCCGTTTCTATGCCATCACTCAGGAGTACCTCATTTTTAGGCAGAATCTGCAGCCCATGGCAAACGTATGTTGTCACGTTGTCTCCTGTTGGTATTTATTTATCAACCTCAGAAGGATGAATGTCGAATGAAACCGACCGGGGTTTGAACTCGAGAACTGCCGCTTCTGAGTTCGACACTCCACCAATTAAGCAACTTCATACCCACGCAGTTGTTCGATTCAGAGCTCATAGACGTCTTTGCCAACGCGCCATAAGCATATGGGTATGAAGCAAGCAGATCTGTATCAATGAATAAATCGAACCGAACAACGTGATCGTTGCCTCTTCAGATAGCATTAACCACTGTTGCATTTAGAACATATGAAAATGTTAGCAAGGATGCTTTGCTTTCAATATATCAGTATGAAAATGAGCTGATATACAATCGGGCAAGTGAGAGTTTTTTGGGGCAGAGTGGAATAGACTCGAATTTGTGATATTTTTCATGACATACCACATTTCACTGGCTTCAGTGTGTTCATTATGAGACGATCTAATTTCCTACAGAGCACTCTGACACTTATTCAAGTTTATGGCACCTCAGATTATTATTATTTGAACAAACGCAGTGTCGTCTGTCCATCAATATGTTTATGGAAATGAAGCTAGTTATGGTAACGGACGTCAGGTCAGCGTGCAGCCAGCCGGCCACATCTGTCATATTCTCTGCTTTTTTCGACATGCTTCTGCTGTCAAGAAGCAAGGAAATTAGAAGCCATCAGACTAGGACGTACCAATATCGACCAGC